CCATATTATTTCCCACTGTTTCCTCTTCCACCCAGAAAATAGGGAGTGTATGTGGCATCCTTTACTCTGTCCCCACCCCCCCACCTCCCGCCTTTGCTCTGACTCCCTCCCCGTTAACACTGCTGATGAATGTCAGCAAAAGGAAATCGAAATTGCACCCTGGGCTGATGTTAAGTCAGACTTTGAAGTTAAATATCAGCGAGCTGTTGTGAGGCTTTCATGGCACAGAGAGGCAGAAACCTCCCTGAGAGACAGGAAGGAGTTAGGCAGAGAAGTGATGGCTAAAGGTCTTCCTCATCTTGCTGTACCCTCGAGGTTAGGATGCAAACCTCAGCCTGGCGACCTCCCATCCGGATCCCAAAATTCAACCAGCATTGGATAAAGTTACCCGGAGGCGAAGGGATTGGTAGCATTACTCATAACGTGAAGGGCATCATCATTCTCGACTGTATAGAAATGCTGAGCAGAAAGCTTTGCTGATTTTACACTCTTAGTGCGTGTAAGGTGTATGTCTGTACATCCTGCGCTGTGCGTCCAGCTGTGCTGTACAGGTGTCTGACACACACACCCCATCTGGTTTGTTCCCCTCAACCCCCAAACTCCATTCTCTTGTGCAAGGTGCTGGGAAGTCAGGGCTGGACCCACTGGAAGTGATCCAGTTTAGCCTCTTTGCACTGTTACGCTGTGAATATGCAATAACTTGATTTGTTAAGTGTTATGTATTGCACAAAATTACTGCTAAAACCAGTGCATACTTAATTCCACTAACTGGACAGAGCAAGCAAGGAAAGAAGCTACCAGAGCATCTTATCAATTTAATCTGCATTTTCTGGAAAGTTTTCCTCCAATTTTTATGGTTTTGTTTAGTAGTCATGGTACTGCAGTATCTGTCCCCATAGACTCTCTGAGAAAGTGGATAATAATTAGGAATTGATTAGAAAGAAAGTGAGTCAGAGCTAAAGCACAGGAGTCACATTTACTGAATTTGGTAAAGAATTAACTTTAGTAGCTTGGAAATACTGCATAACATAGTGGAGAGGAAAATTAAATACTTGTTGTATTCATTCCTTTTCTGTTCGGTGTTTATACAGAAAGCACAGTGATTTTTCAGAAAGTTTACAGTTTGAGTATCGACGGGAAAGGGACTGTGTTACAGCAATGTGGTACTGCTGGAACCTGCTCAGTCAGGTTTCTGTGGCTGTCGCTCTAAGCAGTTGCAATTAACTGATTTCTCTGAACCTGCCAGAAAACTGCTGCTTACGTGAATTACCATCTTACCAGGGGTATGGGTACAAAGCTATTGATGCATCGGGAAGGGAATGTGTCTGCCTCAGTCTATGGGATTAGAGCACCATGCAATGGCAATGGCTTGGTTTATCTGTACCTGTTGTTGCTGCACTCACTGGGCAGACGTGGCCCAAATGGTCTGGCTCTTCCATGCAGCAGCTTCTGATGAATGTCTCATAGATTTTTTTTCAAAGCAGGTTGAGGCGAAAAGTGTTCATGGGAAACCATGTCAGTATTTTTATTTTTTTTAAGTACAGAAAGGACTTTCTATTCAAAGACTCGTGTACAAACACATAAAATTACCTTCCCTGAATAATTAAAGCAGTTGGTCCACTTTTATCAGACCAGACCACTTTTATCAAGACCAGACCAGTCTTTGTTCTCTT